AATTTGAAAGAATCTGTTGCAGGATCTTATTATAGAACCAAATAACCCTTCATTAAAGAGAAGAATTAAGCCACTTAGCACTTTCACTTATATGTCTGATTGCCAATTTAAAGTGCTAGGCCTTAATCTTCACTGTAGATAAGCAGTAGACACTCTTTGTTTGCTTGCAATTTAGTCTTGATGAATACACATTTCCACTTGATTTACCACCCACAATCCTCTTCCTTCATAGACTGGAGGAACACAAACTTATATAATGTCAAAATAAATAGTATTCCCCAGAAAGAAATTTTACTTTAAAGCAAAATGTTATGATTAGAACTATGCTTCCCAAAGTGAGGAAATTCAGACCACAAATCAACCCTGCCCTCACTGAAAAAATGAGCACATTGAGACAGCATTTTGTACTTAACTTCTATCAGAGGTAAATAATTGGTGAGCTCTACCCCTTGATTCCAGGGGGAAAAAACCTACCAATCTGTCTACTTAGTACTAAGTGCATGAAATACAAGACTTCTGCCCCCCCAAATATGTAACCTGTACTGTACTGAATTTGAAAATATTATATAGATAGGACTGTACTGTGATCTTTTTGTGGATGTTGATAATATCAAAGTTTGTGTCTGACAGAAAGTTAATGCAGAAAAAGAGTGCATCAGTGTGCTCATACTTTAAGCAGAATGGGTGGAGGTGATCGGTGGGATGCTACCATAAGTTAGAGTGTTCTGCCAGAAAACATATTCTAGGATCAAACATGTTCCATCAGAAGCTAGAAATTGTTGTGTTGGAAAATAACTGTTTATACCCCATAATTGTCATTCTAAACTCTCTGCTTTAGTAAAAGATGCAAGTAAAAACTTCAAGGTCAGGATTAAAGTAATTTCTGAATCAGTGTAAAAAAAGGGGGGGGCAGGAAACTAGAATTTCCATCACTGGTTTGTGGAGGAGATAACATGGAAACCTCAAATCAGCCATTTAATATATTCTCTTAAATTCTGAACTCTTGGTTCTGATAACCATCCTGTTGCATAGCAAATATGTTTTGGATGGCAAAATAATAGGAGCAGCAGTGTGAAAGGGAAAACAACGTTTAAAATTACTATCTCAAATTATATCCTGCACACGGTAATTTTTCCATTCCAGATTTCCCAATGGGTCCTGTATTGGACACCTGTTACAAATAGCAAGAAGGGAGGAGAGTGCATAGGACTAAGGCCAATGAATAGAAACACTACCTCAGAGTATGTGTTTGACTTTTTGTCTTTGGATACAACCACAGAAAATAGTTGCTGCTAGAGATTTGTCATTAAATTGCAGCACTGGTGTTATTTTGTGGAAATGTTTTATTACCTGCAGTATTTCCATTTTGAGAGGAACATGTATATGCACTCACGCTGTGTGTTGTTAGTTCAAAAGCCAATATTATATCCTTTGTTTGTGTTTAGATGCAATCAGTAGATTTTAGGTTCCTGTTTGCCCTTGAGTCCTCTACAACTCCAGTCAGGTCTTCCAAGTACTAGTGGAAAGTACTTTGAACTTAAAAGTTTCACACACACCCCTTATAATATTAGTCCTTTCCCAAAAGGCACCATAGTTCCCAGATGTAGTTAAATTACCTTTGGAGGCAAAGTCCAAGAAAGCAAAGCAAAGTGTGCTGCTTATATACTGCCCCTTAGTGCTTCAAGCACTCTCTGGGCGGTTTACAAGTTAATTATGCAGGCTACACATTGCCCCCCCCCCCCAGCGAGTTGGGTACTCATTTTACCGACCTCGGAAGGATAGAAGGCCGAGTCAACCCTGAGCCGGCTACCTGGGATTGAACCCCAGGTTGTGAGTACAGTTTTGGCTGCAGTACAGCGGTTTAAGAAACTACTTTATGTGTGGGTTTGAGTATGAGTAGCAGAACTTAGAAACCAGCAATGGCTAATTCATATACCACATCATAAACTGCTCTTGAAATGTTGACTTTTCACATTTGGTTTAGCATGGGGCTGTTGTCAAGGTTTGAAACCTTGTCAGTTCAGAGTATTAAAAATGATTATAGAGCTGCAAGAAAAAAGACTTTTGAAAATGAAACTGCTTTTCATAATGCAACTTGAATTTCCTTGTTTTCAAACAAACACACTGTTTCCAGCCTGCTTGAGACTAAAGTCAGTGAAATGATAGCACTGCTTTGAAGAATCCCTTCATGTTTGGCAGTTTTCAAGTGAAAGTTTGTAATAATGTAAAGGGTAAACATACTGAAGAAGTTAAAAGAAAATGGAAACAGTGTTGTTTTAAAACGGCAAAAGAAAATGGAAACAGTGTTGTTTTAAAACGCCCTTTAAAATACAGCTTGAGCCACATCCTCATAGTACCGTGTATTAACCCTTTTTGAAAGAAATACAGATTGCAGGTTTGAATGAAAATAGCATTTGTAAAATAGTTGATTTTATAATATGCCATTTATCAGTTCCATGGTATACCCTACTGGCAATCATAAACTTTTAGCTGTGGATTAGCACCCTGGGGTCTTGTTAGTCTACAACAGAGGTTCCCAATTTTAGTAACCCAGGTAATCTTGGACTGCAACTCCCAGATGCCTTCACCACTAGCTGTATAAATAGGGGAAATAAGACATACACAGTCAGTGGAAGATATCATTATTGGAAAAACATGCTATAAGTGTTGTTGATATCATTGGACAAAGCAGCAGCAGCAGCATCAGAAAATCAACAATAGAGTTTCCTCCATGGATTTTTAACTGGCTTATTTGGGTGAGAACTTTATTTAATAATTTACCGCAGAAGCCTGTGCTGCAGGGTCAGAAGATCCGGCAGTCGTAAGATCGAATCCACACAACGGAATGAGCACCCGTCGCTTGTCCCAGCTCCCGCCAACCTAGCGGTTCGAAAGCATGCAAATGCGAGTAGATAAATAGGGACCACCTCGGTGGGAAGGTAAACAGCGTTCCGTGTCTAAATCACACTGGCCATGTGACCACGGAAAGATTGTCTTCGGACAAACGCTGGCTCTATGGCTTGAAGAGCGGGATGAGCGCTGCCCCCTAGAGTCGGACACGACTGGACAAAAATTGTCAAGGGGAACCTTTACCTTTATGTGTCTAAGTATGCTAAAAGGTTGAATAATGTATTTTACTTTGATGCATTGTTAATTTTAACAATTTTACTATTTAGAGATGCATTCTCTATCTTTTGATTTTGTATTTGCCTCTTTTAGTCTATAAGTTCATTTATTTGTACAACTGCAGTTTTGTATTTCAACTTTTGCAACTTCTCATAGTTGTAAGACTTGGATGGCAGGAAAACTTGCAAATATGCATTTTTAAGCATGTATGTCTACAGTTTCCCTTACAACTGTAAGACTGTCTTCAATACATTTTGACATATTATTTTCTGAAGTATATTTCTACATATGGACCATCGAAGCAATGTAGATAAATAAAGCTTGTAAAATTAGAAAAACTGATTTTGCCCGGAATTATTGCAATAATGGAAAGATTTATACTTTCATATTCAGATTGAACATTTATATGTTTGTCTGTGATTGTTTGGTTGTTTTCTGGGATTAAACCTTTACTGGGAAAATGTCAGTTGTGACAAATATAGGTTTCTGATTTTTTTTTCTTCCTTTGAGATCTGTCTGGAGGACTCTTGGGGCAATGGTAAGGCCTTAGAATCTCTAACCTGACAGTGTTTATATTGAAGAGAGAGTGTGATCAGAATTCTTCTATATGTGAGGAACTATTTGCCCTGATTGTGTTTTAATTCTGTTTTGTCTGTTATCTTTCAAGTTTTCTGGAGGTGTCTGCACTGTGATCAACTAACCAACAGAACAAATTAACCTGAAGAATGTTGGAAAAAAAATAGTTTTGTATCTTTGACTATGTAAATTCTCACTGTCATTTTAAATGTATTAAAGCACCTGTACTGTATACATAATTTAATCTGCATTTTTGTTTACACTGCTGTAGGGGGAAATCTCTCAAAAACAAGGTTTTTACCAGAAAGCCAACAGTAGCATCTGTTTTAGTGTACAGTGGTGCCTCGCTTAACGATTGCCTCGTTTAGCGATGAATTCGCATAACAATGTGTTTTTTTAGAAAATAATATGCACCGTCTAACGATGTTTCCTATGGGCGATTTTCGCTTAGCGAAGTTTGGGACCATGCTTCGCATAACGAATGCGATTTTAGGTCCCCTGCTTCACTTAACAATGTTTCTTTTTTCAATTAAAAAAGTGTCTTAGAAGGGTCAAAAACGGTTCTAAATGCTTGGATTCGTTAGAGGACCCCTTAAGTCATGGGCAAACCTGATTTGGCTTTGATCTGACTTTTCGTTAATTTATGGTGATATTTCTCCCCAGCTTTTGACAGCTGTCAAAAGCTGGGGAGAAATATCACCATAAATTAACGAAAAGTCAGATCAAAGCCAAATTAACTTTTGCATCCGTTTTAGAGGGTGCAGAAGCTAATCCAAACATTTAAAACCATTTTTGACCCTTTTATGACACACTTAATTTTGCAAAAATTGACTTCACAAAGCCATTGAAATGTATTGAGTCAGCTTCAATACATTCCAATGGAGGAAACATTGTTTCGCTTAGCGATGTTTCCTATGGGTTTTTCGCTTAACAACGGCAATCCGTTCCAATTGGAGCGGATTAACCGGTTTCCAATGCATTCCTATGGGAAATGGTGTTTCGCATAGCGATGGTTTCACATAGCGATGGTTTTTTTGGAACGAATTAACATCGCTATGCGAGGCACCACTGTATTTTGAATTTCAGCTTTCAGTATAGGTGATGAGATGAAGACATTGGGAGACAACTTTTGGACCAATGATCTGGAAAGAGCAAGAGTGCTATTTTCATTTTCAGCTGGAGTTTAGTCTCATTTTGGATTGTGCTGTGTAGCCTTGCAGCACTTTCCATAAGCTGGTTAGTCATGAAGAAAGCCCATACTTCAGATGTTTTATGTGCTGTTTTGTGTATTATTGTAGGTTTGTAAGCGAATGGACTTGGTCTGCCAGAGAATGTTGAATCAGGGATTTCTCAAAGTGGAAAGATACCATAACTTGTGCCAGAAACAGGTTAAAGCACAGCTTCCAAGGTATGTGCTCACCACAGCTGAAGTAATCCTTTTAAAAATCCATCTGCATATAAAACAGTTATAGATGAAATGTTTTCTTGTAATGGGTTGTAGAATAAGTATTTGAATGATGGGGAAAGCATCATGATATTGTGCCAAGAGGCTTTTGTGAATCTTCTGCATGTGAAATGGGACAAAAGATGTAACACCTTGTTTCCTGTGTGTATTTAGTATTTTAGCTATTTCCCTTTCATTAGCAAGTTGCTACTACCTGCCAACATAGCAGTTCGAAAGCATGCAAATGCAAGTAGATAAATAGATACCACCACAGTGAGAAGGTAACAGCATTCCATCTCTAGTTGCGCTGGCCACATGACCACGGAAACTGTCTTCGGACAAACACTGGCTCTACAGCTTGGAGACAGGGATGAGCACCGCCCCCTAGAGTTGGACACGACTGGACTAAATGTCAAGGGGAACCTTTACCTTAACCTTACTACCTGATAAGACAAACAGTTTCTGGGAAGTGGTCATTTTCTTTCCTGCTTTAGTCTGCAGTTATGTTTTTGTGCAGGTGGTTGCGAATTTAGACTTCACTGTAAATATTGGGTTGAATCCAGACATAATCATGACTGTAAGTTTCATTTATCTCCAGAAGTCTATTCTAAGTTTGACCAACTTAAGCTCTGTTGATTTAAGCAGCTGTGCACGAATGTAGCAGGGCTGGAATCCATTGAATAATCTGTGGTGGAGTTCAAAATAAACACACTGGGATTACACAATAGTTTTTAGTGCTTGTGGATTTTAGTGATATGTTATAGTATACCAGGTCCTGATAAATCTACAACTTCAAGATGAGCCATATACAGAAAAAGTAAATATGCCATAAAGGGAGTGGGGGGGGTCTTTTAAGCCTTTCAGATTTCTGAGCACTGGATCTCAAGGAATACCTCCTAATTTGAATCTTGTTTGTTCACATCCACGGTGAAATTCTTGTGGAGTCTATTGTGTTTAAGATTACTGCAGTGACCTCTAGATGTGGGACTTTCTCAATTGTATCACCCTCTGAAGGAATTTTTCTAGAGGATAGATGGAAAGGAGGTATTTTATTTATTTATTTATTCATTCATTCATTCATTCATTCATTCATTCATTCATTCATTCATTCATTCATTCAGTTTGTATTCTGCTCCCATTAGTGTCACAGCACTACTCTGGGCGGGTTACAACTCATAATTTTACCATGGATGTGAACAAACAAATTAGGCGGTATTCCTTATGCAGAATCATACATTATCCAACTGTTGTCAGTACTCTGCTCAAGTAATGTGTGAGTTTCTTCATGCTGATCTTTGTCAGCGTTGAGCAGAAACTGAAATATAATCTGTATAGTGAGAAGAATTTAAGCTCATTGCTATGTTGCAAAAATGAATAGTTCAAACACCTTGGTAGGCCAATGTCCAGTTACCTAAAAGATAAGAGAAAAAGAGAACATCCACTATGAAATGACTTTTTAAAATTTATTCTGCAAAATAAAGGAGTTCACATGGGTTAATACCTGAACAGTGTATCTCAGAGTTTATAGATGTGCGCCAGCATTTATATACCCTATTAGTCATATATCACGGATCATATATCTAGTATAACAGACATATTACTATAACAAATTGTCAAATTTACCCTAGCTGATTTCTGCCCTAGTTGAATTCTGCTCTCTTTTGGAATTTTAGACCTCTCTTTGCTGTCTCATCTATACCTTTCTTTGTCACCTTGTTCTTGTTTTCCTTATTTCTTTTAACAATACATTCTACAAAATGCTTTCCTTATGTTAGTTAAAAGGTCAGATCTTCATACAAGTTTCTAACATGGCAAGCTAATACAAAATGGTACTACTGATACTATCCATAAGCATGATTGAAAATAAATTTCTTAAGAGTTGAACTTTTTTTTTCCTTTTTGGTGGAATATTTTTGCTGCTTTTATTCCATCCCATTTCTGGAAGTAAAAGGTACAAATGCAATTCCAAGTAATTTTGTGCTACGTTCAGAGTGTGAATAATGCATTAGATTGAGATAGGGAAACCCTAAGAATATTAAAAGTCGATGGTATCACATTCTGCTTTAGTAGAACACACATTCTCCTGAGAAGAGCCTTTTTGTGAGAACAGAAGAATAAAACAATTCCTGAGGTACTTATTACATGCCTGTGGAATACTTGTGTAAGCTTCATGTGGACTTTCGACCTACAAAGCATGATAGAGCCCTCACTAGCAAGGACAACAAAGCTGACCCAAGAATATGGGCTGCCAAGGAATGCCTTTGTCTGATGTCTCCACCAAGCAATTTTTGAAGATTACTTCAAAAATAATATAACTGTGGTTTTTTTCATAGTTTGATCGCAATAGCTGAAGCTACATTTCTATATTAGAAAACAAAATGAATTGAATTGGTTGCTTTACTCCATTTCCTATGACAGAAATCAGTCAGATTCTTTCTTGTACAACCCTGTTTCTGTAGGAGTCAAAGCTTCAAGATTCCCTTCTATAATGTTTTGGGTTTCTTCTTGCTGATTGCTGGCATCTATAGTGTCTGAAGTGACTGTCTTAGATATTTTTTCCCGTAGGAGTCAAAGCTTCAAGATTCCCTTCTTCTATAATGTTTTGGGTTTCTTCCTGCTGATTGCTGGCATCTGTAGTGTCTGAAGTGACTGTCTTCGATATTTTTTCCTCTTTAGGCGTGAATCAGAGAGAAGAAATCACTCTTTAGCTCGTCATGCAGATATTCTTGCTGCTGTAGAAACAAGACTGTCACTGCTAAATATGACGTTTATGAAGTATGTGGATTCTAACCTCTGCTGTTTTATACCTGGAAAGGTAATTTGAAAAAATGCAGCATTAAAGTGTAATAGAATCAAATAAGTATCTTTTGTGTGTTCCTAGGACTGAATACTTTCTTAGGGATACACTCATAGTAGCTGGCAGCATTTTGCAAGCATCACAGCTGTTTAAGCTTCCTTTTCCAAGAGTGCTGATCTTTCATAATAGCGGATTAGCTTAACTGATTGCCAGGTCTTTTATACCATGGTATCCAAAATCAAGCACAGAGAACATTTAAATAATATTGATTATAATTTGTTGCTTCTATAGTGGTTGGATGTGCTGTGACAATAAATCAAACAGACTATGAATAGCCTCTCTGGTTTTGGTCCTTTCAAGTACTTTTCAGTTTGTTTTGAAACAATAAAATGTCATTATAGAAAGCCTCACTTGAAAGATATGCTCTCTTTGGTCTTGTCAGTATCTATATCTTCATTTTCCCCATTTGATTTAGGTAATTGATGAAATTTACCGTGTGTTAAGGTATGTAAATTCGACCAAAGCTCCACAGAGAGCCCATGAAGTCCTTCAGGAGTTAAGGGACATTTCATCTATGGCAATGGAATATTTTGATGAGAAGATAGTTCCAATTCTAAAGAGGAAGTTGCCAGGGTCAGATGTATCAGGACGACTTATAGCAGCAGCTCCGGGTACGTCTTTCACTTTTTCTGACACACTTTATGCAGCAAATAGCAACTTCATTGTGATTTTTTCTTTTTCACTAATTATGATAATTAAGTGCTGCCAAGTCAGTTCCAACTCATGGCCACCTTTCCCAGGGTCTTTGAGGTATACAGTACTCGGGAATAGTTTACCATTCTCTTCTTCTGGGGCCGCTCTGGAATTGTGCAGTTTCTGGAAGGCAACTCAGGCTACCTCTTCTGAGAGTCACAATGAGAAATTGAACTCCCAACCTTTAGCTTCATAGCCTAATACCTAACTCACTGAGTTATCTAGCCAGCAGATTCTCCTCTGGAAGTAATGATTTAAACATTGGTTTAGTGTATTAGGTAAGATTGTTAATAAGCAACTGCAGTTTCCAAATGGAGACTGCAGCCAAAAAACAGAAAATGATTGAGACTTGAAGATCACAATGAGAAATTGAACTCCCAGCCTTTAGTTTCACAGCCTAATACCTAACTCACTGAGTTATCTAGCCAGCAGATTCTCCTCTGGAAGTAATGATTTAAACATTGGTTTAGTGTATTAGGTAAGATTGTTAATAAGCAACTGCAGTTTCCAAATGGAGACTGCAGCCAAAAAACAGAAAATGATTGAGACTTGAAGAGCAGTTGGACCAAATGGAGACTGCAGCCAAAAATCAGAAAATGATTGAGACTTGAAGGGCAGTTATTAAGGAACTAGAAAAGATCATCAAGTTTAAGGATATATCACTGGACATCAAGGTCAAGATGGTCAACCAGATTTCATTTGCAGTTACTATGTAAGGATGTGAAAGCTGAGCAGTGAAGAAAGCAGATAGGGAAAATATCCGTTTGTTTGAAATATGGTGCTGGAGGGGAGCTTTGTGGATGCCATCAGGTGGTATCCACAACTGCCCATGACCAGTTGGGTCGAAGATCAAATCAAGCCTGAACTCTCCCTAGAAGCAAAAATAATGAAATTAAGGCTGTTGTACTTTGGACAAATCATGAGAAAAGAAGACTTAACTGGAATAGACAATAATGCTAAGAAAAGGTGAAAGCGGCAGGGGGAAAAAGTCTAATTATGAGATGGATTAACTCCATAAAGCAAACCACAGCCTTCTGTTTGCAAGAGTTGAGCGGGGCTGTTAACAAGGAGACATTAGGTTACTTGACAGCACATAAAAAACTACATAGCAGTTTTAAATTAGAAACTGTTAGTCCGGAGATCCTGTGAGAAGAGTTCTGTTCATAGAAAGGATGCTTTTAATTTTTGAGCAGGGAGTGGAGAGGTTAGAATTTCTTAGTTCTTCCCAGGCTATTATGCTATTTGGAAACATCATAACCAAAATAAGAATTTCTGATCTGTTTGAAAATAGATGATGAAAAGTAATAGAGCACAATAATATGAACGAATCAAAATATTAAACATAATGTTTAGATAATATATCAGTACCTAAAATAGAAACTTTAAGGAAATTTAATAACAGATTGGCTTAAAATCCTGTTATATACTGTTATCAAAACATTGTATTTAATGTTTCGATAATGGATCAATACTGGCTGAAATTCTGTTGCATAGTTTGTGTATAGAACAGAAACATTGTCATGAGCAGTGGAAAATTGCCACTGATGAAAGGCTTCTTTGGTGATTTCAGGCTGCACACAACGTATTCACAATGTAAGAAAGTTGCTTGTACCCTGAAATCACCAGAAGCTTTTAAGCAATTTGCTGCTGCTGAGGATCATTGATGTGTAATCCTGGATTTCAGCCAAAATATTATTTTACCACCATACAATTTATTTCTGAATCAACTGACCAATCTAATCCTTACCAAATCAGTACTGTTAAGGTGTTCTTGGAGTTCTAGGATAACCGCGGAGTGGATGTCAACATTATAATGAAATTACTAATGCTTCACGTAAAGTCTGGGAGATTTTCAGATGGCAGAATGTAGAGCTTGAAACTTTGCTTTTAGTTGTGAGGAGCTCAGCATGATTCATAAATCAATTTTCTGTTACATCTGTCAGCATTAGTATTTGATAACGTTCTTTTAGTCTTCTGTTTCTAATATGACTTTGGCTAGTTCAACATATTTGAATCTTAAAAACAGTACCTGGCAGTGGCCAAGCAATCCATTCTTTGCACTTTGGAGTTTGTCTTTAGAAAACACAAACTGTATCTGTTGGCATTCAGCATTAAATGCAGAAGACAAACAGTGAAATCTGAATGTTTGCAATTGGTTTTTTGGCCATGTTATTCTTTGTTCAAAAACAGGTTTTTGCACAATATTGGATATCTGTGCAAAGACTGCAATAATAGAATAATAGAAATAATCACAGAAGTGGAAGTATAAAAAGAAAGGAGGGTAAATAGAGAGGAGGGTTATAGGAGCAGGGATACACATCAGGGGAAAATGGAAATCCCACCTTTTTTCCATACCCAGGCTGCATATACCAGTCTCCACATTAGTACCACGGTATGTGTGTAGTTTATTGGTGCCCTTCAAAATATTGTCAGAGGTCATTATTTATGTGACTCTTGCATGTCTGGAATAATTTTTGAATGACACAATTATATTAGAGAGGCATTATGATACATGGGTGTTGGCAATGGAATTAGCACATGCCAAGGCAGCAGTTTGTGTGGACTGGGTGGAATATAATTCCATGGAAGAGAAGCAGTACTTCAGACAATTGTGTCATTTAAATGTTACCCCAGCTACACAGGAGTTGCTTCAGCTAGAAGCACCTTTGATGTAGCTGGGATAAACACTTAAAAGGCAGAATACACTGCTTGGAATGTGACATTGAAAAGAACATTGAATTGTCACTTTGAGTATACTAGCTTGAAGTACAACCTGTTTAACTGGCTGTAGACAAGAACAGCAGTTCTAAGCAGAAGATATTTTACTCTTTAGGTGGCTAGCAGTAATGTAAAAATCTTTGAATATCCCCAGTGAATTTGCTGATACATAAAGATTTGTTTCTGTGCTAGTGTAGCAGGTGTGGATGTTAATATTTCCTTACAAACCTTGGTATTCATTTTGGAGCCCTAGAATCAAAAATTGAAATTAGGAGGGGGAAAACCTTAACTCACTCTTTCTGCAGTTCCAGGTCCTTCTGCAGCCTTAACTACGATGCAGCTCTTCTCCAAACAAAACCCGTCAAGGCAGGAGGTCACCAAACTTCAGCAACAAATTAAAACTAATGGTGCAGGAGTGACTGTGCTGAGGCGGGAAATATCAGAGCTTCGCACCAAAGTGCAGGAACAGCAAAAGCAGCTCCAAGACCAAGATCAGAAACTGCTTGAGCAGACCCAGATCATAGGTGAGCAGAATGCCCGGCTGGCTGAGCTCGAACGCAAACTGCGAGAGGTTATGGAAAGCGCAGTAGGAAATTCCTCTGGCTCAGCACCAACTGAGGAGACTCCTAGGAAACGGAAGAAGGTTGTTGAATCAATAGGTTCGCTTAGAAAGTCAAAACGCCTAAGAAATAATAAATAACTTTGGGATGAAATGACACTTCTGTGGAAATGCACTGCTCTAGTGATCCAGGAAGGTTGTCTGGTATAGATCTTGTGATCCACAGCATGGTGTCATTCAGGCTGCTGGTTCTTCAGAACACCATAGACTTGAAAACAACTTTCTGTCATTGATGAGACATTACTTCCCACCCCTGCCCTGCTTCTGTTTGAGTGGGCCTCCTGCACAGGATTATTATAATTTGCTATAGATTTATACTAACCAAACATGCTCTATCATGTTTTGAAAAGTTAACTTTCTTTTTCTGTGCAACTATAAAGTGAAACTTACATTTATGCATCTGTACCCATAAATGAATATCTTAAATACATCCAGACTTCATTTCCTTGAAAATTAAGAATGGATAGATAGCAGATGTCCTGTTCACTTGAAAAAAAGAGAGCATTTTTAAAAAAGTATGTTTGGGGAAATAGTTTAATTTTTTTTTGCAAGTGACCTTGTTTAGAATGTCTGAAAAGTAGTTTATACATGTGAAAGTCTACATAACAAGTAAAAATGACTTCCTAAGCTTACAGTATTGGCTATATATATTTTTGTAAATTTGAAAAGGAAGGGACTTTAGTCTACTTTTCACAAATGCATACCCTATGTCTAAGCATTTAGAGCCATATTTTTATCTTGCATGGAGAGATGCATGCATTGCTTAGTCAGCTTGGTAAAGCATTTGCCTGGAGTTGCTATTCAATCATTGGCCTTTCCCACCTTTTTGGAGAGCAGCTTCTTGTTTCCTTAGCCACAATTCTGCATATGGTTTCAGCACAGTTCTTTCTTTTCTTGTGTGGCCATTTTGTCTCGTTAATGCAGGAGAATATATCAGCCAAGCTTTTTTTTTCTTCCTGCTTGCCTATAGATGGCAGAGCCACTCCTAGCTAAAACAGGACTTGAGAGGTTTGTTCTTTTTTATCTGTGGTTTTTGGTTTATACACTACTGATACCAATTCAGAGGTTTAAAAGCAATGTTAAGTGCTGGACAGAACATACTGGTTTTGTTCAGTCCACAGGCTTGTTACTGCAATGTTCAAATTTTAAAAGTTTTATGTTGAGAAAAAGACCTTACTGTTATTTGGCAAGAACTCTCTGTAATACTGTGTTCTAGCTTCCTTTATCCTGAAAAGTAAATTGACTTCAGACAAAAAAAAGCTTTAAATTCTTTTGCACTCATTCTGTTTTGAAGTTGTGACTGGAAAAGCATGTCTTGCACTGTACAGTCTCTGAATTTGTCACTTTAACAGCCTCCAAGTTGTAATGTACAGTGATTTTCCCCTCTACTTGTTTTGTTTTGAAAGGATTGAGTCTTCAAAACATACCACTTCCATGATTTAATTTGCTGTTACTCAATAATGTAGTTCTGTTGCTCAACTGTCACAGTTTTTCTCTTAATCTGCTTTTGCTGTTTGGGCTTTCACTATTATTAAATATGGAACAGAAATCTGAATTAGAGTGTTAGCTCAAAAAGCTACTCTTGGCAGACATTTTGCTAAAGTACAAACTTATTTTTCATTTGTCATATAAACATAGTGTTTTCCTGAAAACTTTTTTCGGCTTTTTCCTGGATGCCAGAAGCCCATTAGGAGTAAGTTCTCCCTAAAACAGAACATTATAAATTAATGTCAAGAGTTTGGAGTATTTAATTTTTTTTAAGTTATGTTCTTGTTTTGCTATCCTGTTTTCCCGAAAATAAGACAGGGTCTTATATTAATTTTTGCTCCAAAAACACATTAGGGCTTATTTTCAGGGGATGCTTTATTTTTTCATGTATATACAGTCTACGTTTATTTAAATACAGTCACATCTTCTGGTTGTTACACAATGGTGAAGGGCGGGCTTTCACTTAACTAGGGCTTATTTTTGGGGTAGGACTTGTATTACAAGCATCCTGAAAAATCATACTAGGGCTTATTTTCAGGTTAGGTCTTATTTTCAGGGAAACAGGGTATCTTAAGGTCTTTTTACAGTGTGTGAGTTATTTTTTATTTTATTTTAAATGGGAGCAGGCAATTGTATGTGAGAGGTGGACATATACTGAATTGTCTCAAGGATAATATAACAGTTTCGAAACATTCACTTGAACGTTTCTTATTTGAAGAACCTTGGTTGTATGAATTCAGCATCATTGTAATTTCTTAAGAGATACTGCTGTGCATGTGTCCTAATGGAGGGCAGATTTTCCTTGCTGTTATTGTTTGGCCTCAGAATGTGTCAAAGCATGGTGCCTTTGGTTGTAGTCTGGTGCATTTTCTAGTCACATTCTCCCATGGGGGCGATGCCTGAGAAGAAGGGTAAACAAGATTCTCTTCCTCCTTCCCTGTGAAGCAGACTGCCAGCATTTGCAGGGATATACCTACATCCTGGGATAAAACAGAGGAATGTTTGGCACACCAGAGATTTCTGAACTGCATTTCCCATAATTTGTCACTTTGGCCTTCCTAGTGTTTTAGGCTACAATTCCCACAGTCCTTTATCATCAGCCATGGTTAATGGGATTGTTAGGTACTGTAGGTCCAGACCTCTGAAGAAGGCAAAGGGAGTTCTGATGGGCGGAAAAAGATAAATACTTTTAATACATAATTCCTACTACTGCTGCAGTTAAATCCAGCATCACCAACTTGCAAGAAGACTCATAGTAGTGCAGTGATCGTGTCTCCCCCCCCCTCTTGAAACTGGCATGGGAAGGGATTGCATCTTTTGGTTTGTCCCATGTGACTTCTCTTTACAAAAGTGTTTCTCCATAGTTAAATAATTGGCACAGCAAATTTATATTATGATCATATAGGTTCATTTAAGAAAAAGGAAGTTCCACTGTTAAAATCTGCCATTTTTATGGTTAACTTCTCATAATATGTTTAATTTAGTTTATCAACCTAGTTCAAAGTATTTTACCAGATTGGAGAGCTACCATATTAACTGAAGTTATTGCCCAAGCAAAATTTGACAAACAAAAGCTTACAGCCTAGAATACATAGTATATACTGATCCCTGCTCATACACAGGTATTGCTGAGGTTTTACAATTACCTGTATATTTTTCTGTCAAATAAATACTGTTCAAATTGGAAAAGAAGTGGAATTAATAAACAGTATTCAAATTTATAGAGAATTTCTAAATACATTCAGCAGAAAGTTAATGGTATAAATAGATGAATTTGCACTTTAGGTTACTCAAGTCTAATTCAACTTCTTTTACATTTGTTGCATGGTATGACTTTTTAAATGTAACTATTCTCAGTGTGTACATAAAAACCTTAAATGTTCAAACTACATCAAAGTCACAATAAGGATACAGATACCGATATAATACAATTCAAATGTACATAGAAACCAATATGAAAAAAAAACTTTAAAATGTAGACAGACTCAAGTGTCACATCTAGATACTGAATAAAAAATAGGTTCTAGTGTTTCATTTTTCACTCACTTTTCTTTTAAACTATGCTGAACGTTAGCAAAATTTCCTTATAACTGCTTCAAGTAAAAAATGTAGATATGCCAAGTACTAATAAAGAACAAGTAAAACTTGATCTGCTCATATAGACATAGAAAATATTACAGATAGAGTATTTCAGTGCTTTAAATGTAAGTAGCTGGACATAATAATTGTTTGAGATGGATAAACATTTGTGGTACAGTTGGTAACAATTTGAAAGCTTCCAAGTTGGGTAGCTTATACGCCAACCTTGAACCAATACTCCAATCTAGATTCTGCTTTTACATGACCAGAAGGCTTGCACTAGACACAACCCGTAACTCACAATAATAAATTGCCAGTATTTTGGAATGAAGAACATTTGGAATATCTAAGCATCCGATGTAAAAGAAGTGGAGTTTTATAGACTGATAATCCTTCCCATTGGTGTCATTGGTGTCCATGGTGGGGCAGGCATTAGCAGCTTAATGTACACAGACAGATTCAAGTTGTAGTAGGATATGTGTACCACTATGCATTGTTACCCCTCCCAGGAAAATTCCTGCAGACATTCTTAAACTCTGTCTTCAATATGGGGTGTAGATTTCTAGCTACATTCTAGCTAGTAAACCTTTTATTATAATAAACTTCTATATTAATGGGGAACAAAAAGCACTTCATTCAGGGTAGGCAATGTGACAACCCCAGACCTACTGGGATATGCCACAGTTTCACTAAGCTGCCACCAACCATTCCCTGTAAGGAGTCACACAGACCAGGAATGGATTTTTAACAAACAAAGGAATAAGGTTTATTTAAATAACACACAGGGAAAATAAAATGATCAAGTGAATAAGATACAGTAACGTGGCTTAGTCTCAATCATACATACACCAGTTTGGTTCACACAGAACACCTTTCAATAAAGCACAGACCCTGAACCTATCAGTTCTGGCTACCCATACAGACACCTGAACCTATCAGGTTGGTACTGGAACATTTGGAATATCTAAGCATCCGATGTAAAAGAAGTGGAGTTTTATAGACTGATAATCCTTCCCATTGGTGTCATTGGTGTCCATGGTGGGGCAGGCATTAGCAGCTTAATGTACACAGACAGATTCAAGTTGTAGTAGGATATGCGTACCACTATGCATTGTTACCCCTCCCAGGAAAATTCCTGCAGACATTCTTAAACTCTGTCTTCAATATGGGGTGTAGATTTCTAGCCTACATTCTAGCTAGTAAACCTTTTATTATAATAAACTTCTATATTAATGGGGAACAAAAAGCACTTCATTCAGGGTAGGCAATTAAAAGATTTTGGAATAAATCAGATTTGGTACAGCTTTCTAAAGCTGAGATAGCCCTTTCAATGCATTTCATACATAATTTTGGTATTACTTTTAAATTTTTAAAAACTTAGTGGAAATACAATTGTCCCAGTCAAGATTGGATTTACTGTGAGATATATTGAAGACTATTAAAGTGTGAGGTGAAAAGAAAAGCATAGGTGGTAGGTTCCCAAAAGCCTCTTGCATGTTAAAGCGAATCTTCTGTTAAATGCACATGAATAAATTTTGAGCTACCCCAGGATAATCTCTCCCTACAATTTGCTATGTTTTGAAGTGTATAAAGAGGAAGCTCCCACAACCCCAATTCCATCCCATCTGCCTTTACCCATCTTTGTGTGTATGCTGATTACTGTTTTGAAGCAGTACTTTGTTTCATTTATTTATTTATTTATTTATTTATTTAATTTATACCCCGCTCCTCTAGACCCTGTCTACTCGGGGCGGCTTACAACATAAAATATATCAATATAAAATATATATAATCATAAAAAATACAATTACTATATTA